CTGGAACAATGCAGCTGAAATGAGCCAAGGCTTGACATTGGAGCTGAATGCAAAAATGACTTAATGATTCACATGTAGGTAGGGCTTTAATGTTTCTAGGATGTTTTCTCATGACAAGCATTATTCTTCCAATTTTTTTAGCTAAGGAAACTGAGGCTCAGATAGATAAAGTGACTTGCCTAGAGTCACACAGCCAGTTAGTGACAGAGATTCAAAGGCAGGTCTTCTAATTCAAACAAAGCAAAACAAAACATTGGGCATTTTTGTGGTGTTAGGAACACCAAGTGTTTAATCTACATTATTTTATTTAATTCTCATAATAGCCCTGTCAGCTAGGTACAGCAGGTATTAGTATCCCCATTTTACAGGTAAGAAAACTGAGGCTGATAAAAAGGTTAAGTGACTTGCTCGATGCCACTCATAGCAACTAAGTGTTGGAGGAAAATCTTGCATTTACTGCTAGAAAACAGTCGTGTGAGGAAGCACCAGGGTACAGAGGGTAGAGTATTGGACCTGCAGTCAAAAAGACCTAAATTCAAATCTAATGTCAAAGTCAGCCTTAGACTGTAGCTGTGTGACCCTAGAGAAGTCACTTAACCTCTGTTAGAGTTTGCTCATCTATAAAATGGGGGTAATAATAGCAACTACCTTGCAGGGTTATTGCAAGGATCAAATGAAATGATATTTGTAGAGTGCTTTGCAAACTTTAAAGTGCTAGATAAATTCTGGCAATGATGATGATGATTATTGTTATTATCTGTCTAAGGCTAGTAATCATGATACCTATGGAAACGTGAATGGAAAGTGAAGGGGTATGGATGAAGTCAACCCTTAGCTAAGCCATCAAGAACAAAGTTAAGGTAAAATACAGCAGGATGTTTGTTTTTTTAGCCCAATAATAGGTTGATTCATTAATTTTAAGAATAATTCCAGGTCTTTATGCTTTTTTTAGCTCTTGGTCTAAACTCACCAGTCTTTGCTCTTCATATCTCAAATATCACTTATGGTCCTTAGGTCCTCTTCCATGCATCCATACCTCTCATTCTCAGACCTTGTGCCCTATCACTAACTGGTACCATCTTCTAGACCTGTGCCCTATTACTAACTGGTACCATCTTCTAGACCTGAAAATAGAAGATTCCCCTCCCCAAACCAGAGAGGTTACCAGAGCAGTGACCTCTAAACAGTTTTGACTGGGCTCTCTTACAGGTATTTCTTTTTCTAGGTGAATATGCTGGCAGAGAGGTGTTTGGGTGTGGTAGGTAATTGTCTCAATAGCACCTGTACAACTGCCACTAAGCCACTAAGGTTATAACTGTCATGAGAGTCTGATAACTAGCTCACCAGGGGGAAAGGTTCAGAGTCTGAGTTTCTCTGGGGCAAGAGTAGAGGGTGAGACTATTGGATAAAAAGTTAGTGTGGTTATATTGAAGCTATGCCCCATGACTGGCCACTGCAGGGATGGTAGAATGCAACTCATCTTCCCATCCTCTAACTGGGTGATCACACCTCCCTTAGGGTCATGCCCCCACTTTGGAAACCACTGTCTTAGAGATCAGTAAAGACAACATGATATAGTAGAATTAACACTGGACTTAGAAAGTCAGGGGAACTGGGTTTGAATTGAAAGTCCAATATTCCAACATTCACTAGCTGTGGGACTGTGGGAATCACAGCTTCTTGAAGGATTAGTTCCCCATTTATGAAATGGAAATCATAATACTCATATTTTATAGCTCATAGGGCCTATCTTGAAGAAAGTATTTTGTATGGCTTTAAGCTTCATTGAAATGTGTTATTGTATGGATGAATTTTCTTAATATTATTAATTTAATCTTAATAATTAATATTATTACGACTTAGAGCTGAAAGGAAACTTAGAGGCCATCAAGTCTCATTCCTTCATTTTACAGCTAAGAAAACTAGAGGCTTATAAAGGCAAGTGACTTGTTTGGGATCTCACAGCTTATATGTGATGCAGGATTCAAACTCAGGTCTTCCTGACACTGAGTCCAGCAATTTATCCATTATACCTCTTAGCTCACTCCAAGGGTCCCTTTTAGGGAAGTCCTTGTCTACAACTTTCATTACTTCTCTTATCACTAGCTTTTCATGAATCCATTTTTCCTAAAATGAGGTTTTTTTTCACTTTTTTGGTTTATAAAATGCATTGAATGTACCAGATCCTTGGCCCTAAATATAACAGACTGGAGGCAAGCTGAGTTGATTCTGTGAAAAAAACTTGATTTATTCCAGTTCTGCTTGGGTCCCTTCCAAATCCTTGTTGGCTGACTGTTCCAGCTCCCAAACTCTATGATTCTCTGAAATGGACTTCTGCATTGGAAAGAGCTTTTTTAAAGAATTAATTTATTTATTTTTAGTTTTCAACAATCACTTCCAAAAGCTTTTGAGTTTTAAATTTTCTCCCCCTCCCTCCCTCTCTCCTCACAATGGCGTGAAATCTGATATAAGCTCTACATGTACATCCTGTTAAACATATTTTCACATTAGTCATGCTGTAAAGAAGAATTAGAATCCATAAGAGGAGCCACAAGAAAGAAGAAACAAAACAAAACAGAAGACAAAACAAAAGTGCAAATACTATGCTTCGATGTGCATTCACACTCCATTGGAAAGAGCTTTTGACTGAAAGTCAGGAAACCTACATCCAGGTCAAGGATTCTCTGTATATGACCTTGGACTAGTTACCTCTCTCTGGGCCTCAGTTTTCTCATCTGCAAAATGGGGAAGCTAGATGAGATGATCTCTGAATTCTGCGGTGCAAGAAAAAAGAACAATGAATTTGTAGTGAGGAGATCTGGGTTCATCCCCTGACTCTACCTGTGTGACGCTGGCCAAGTCACTCTACCTCTGTGGGTTCGTGTTTCCTTTTCAGTAAATTAAGGTGGCTGAAGAAGATGTCCTCTACGTTTTTTTTCTAGCTTAGAGTATATGATCATATGAATTAACATCTTTCTGTGGCACAGATTGATTTCCTTTATCCACATGTTAGCAGCAACTTCGCAAAGTGTTGGTTCTAACTTCTTTCTATTTAGGAGTGACACTGGTAGAAATAAGCGGGACCCACAGCTCAGACTGATTAATGTGGGCAGTGCCACACTTGCTTGCTTGCACAATGACTGAATAATAACCATGAGAAAATCACTTCCACTGGCATTAAATTATCCATGCTCCACTCATTTTCTATGATACAGAGCCCTTCAAATATAGACTTCCCTCTTTTTTAAAAAAAAAAAGTATGGTGTGACTCTTTGAATGGCTATTGCGTAACTCAAAGATTTCTGTATATTCAGCTACCTTGTAGCACAAGCTGTCAGAACAGAAATGCTTACAGAAATACTGCACTCACAATCACGCTCCATCTTTCAGCTCAGCATTTCAGACACTGAACATTCCTCTCAGTGGCTCTTTATGGTGTGGTGCCTTAGCTTTGGAATCAGAGGATATGGTTAGAATCTCACCTTTGGTTACTGCCGGTATGACCTTGGGGCTCACTTAACCTTCCTGGGCCTCAGTTTTCTCGTCTGTAAGATAAACAGGCTTGGACTAGATGACTGCAAAGCCCATTCAAGCCCTAGATCTATGGTTCTGTGATAAGTTTCATTTCCAAGGCTTAGGTGGACCCAAAATGATTTAATAATAATAGCCAGCATTTATATAGTGCCTACCATATGCCAAGTTGTGCTAAGCGCTTTACAGATATTTCATTTTATTCTCACATCAACCTTGAGAGGTAGGTATTTCATTATCCCCCTTTTACATTTGAGGAAACTGAGGCAAACAGAGGTTAAGTGACTTGTCCAATATCACATAGCTAGAAAATGTCTGCAGTGGGATTTCAACTTTGGTCTCCCTGACTTTAGGCCTGGTGGTCTACCTACAGCACCACCTTTTCTCAAGGTCACAAAATGAATCAGAAGCCAATTCAAAATTAGGAGTCTTGTGAGTTACCTCCACCTCCTACTCACTTCCAGTGTTTCCCTTATTAGCCACAGGCATGAACAGACTGTGGGTTATATAGGATAACCTATGCTGGGAAAGCATTTCTACAGGTCTGCCTTTTCTTCTCTGGGGTCCATACTCTGTGCCCACCTACGCCTAGCATGGTTATATTAAAGCTGGAAGGGACCAGAGAGGTTATTTAGTCTGACCTCTCTATTTTACAGATGAGGAATCTAGGCCCAGAGAGAATGAATGATCTGCTCAAGGTTTCATAGGTACGAAGTAGGACAGTGGCATTTGAACCCAGACCCTGATTCCAAATCAAGCATTCTTCCCAACAGCTTTCCAGCAGGCTAAAGCCCACTCCCCCAGCCAAGCTTCCTTTACAGCCACAAGGATTTAGTTTTATTATAGCTACTGGGAGCCCTTGATGCTATTTTTAATTCATCTGCTAAGAAACAGCTTCCTTCAGGTCCAAATCGAAATCCCATAAAAAAGAGACAGCTCTCTCAGGTCTTTGGAAACCTGCATGGAATCTGCAATCTGCAGGAATTGCAATAAATCTAGGGCAGAGTGTCCTGAATTGCTCTTTCATGAGATACATGTCCTAAGTGGCTCCAATGCCTTAATTCTGACTCAGCAGTTTCAGCAATGTATCACCCCCTTCTCCTCTTTCACTCTGCTCAATTACATCTATTAGAAATGTAGGTGGGATTGTGAAACCTGGGTTTTCAAGGTTGTTCACCTTGGTTAACTTTCCAGGTAACAGCAGACAGACAGAGATAGAGACAGAGACAAAGTGTGTATGTGTATATGTCTGTGAGAGAGAGAGAGAGAGAGAGAGACAGAGACAGACAGAGATAGAGACAGAGACAGTGTATGTGTGTGTCTGTGAGAGAGAGACAGACAGAGACAGACAGAGATAGAGACAGAGACAGTGTATATGTGTGTATGTCTGTGAGAGAGAGACAGACAGACAGACAGACAGCAACAGATAGAGACATAGAGAGATTTCAAAGGCAGCCTCAGAGCTTTACCTGGTCCAAGCTTTGCAACAGCATACAGAAGGTCATAGTTGATGACTGGTGTGGCATCGCTGATAGGCTGCCAGTCCACAGGAGGTGATGCAGGAGGTGAGATGAGAAACTGTTTTGCTGGCTGAGGGGGTGCCAAGTGAAGCTTGTCTCCATCTGTCTCAGGGGTCTGAACCTTTCAAACAGACCAGGGACGAAGACTTAGCATTCATATTAGGTAGACGTGCTCCATAAACTAGGATGAAAACATGGTCTCATACTCTCTTAGTCAGTGATTGAAGGCTAATACTAATTTTGGCCAAGATACCAAATGTGTAACTTCATGAATGACTAAAATTCCCTCCAAGTCAGAACTGAACGACATTGGTAGACAGCTAGATGGCGAAATGCATAGAGTGCGGGACCTGGAGTAAGGAAATTGCTGTTGGACATTCCGTCATGTCCAACTTTTCGTAACCATTGCATGTAAGTACTGTCCATGGGGTTTTCGTGGCAGAAAAACTGGAGTGGTTTGCCATTTCCTTTTCCAGGGGAATAAGGTAAACAGAGGTTAAATGGCTTATCCAGGGTCACACAGCTAATAAATTTAAATTCGGGTCTTCCTGCCTCTAGGCCCAGCACTCTATCCACTGACCCATCTAGCTTCCTGGGACACTTGAATTCAAATCCATCCTCAGACCTTTATTAGTTGTGTGACCCTAGGCAAGTCACTTAACCTCTCCTTGCCTCAGTTTTCCCCAACTGTAAAATGAGGATAACAAATAGCACTTACCTCCCAGTGTTGTTATGAAGATAAAATAACATATGTAAAGTACTTACAAACTTTAAAGTGTTAAATAACAACTTTTACTATTATTGCTATCGTTATTATTCATGGGGTATCACACAACCCTGGGCCCTGTCCTTTACTATAATTCATGGGTCATCACACAATCCTGCTCTAGGGGATACATATATTTTGGGAATAATGTTATTCATTTACCTGTTCAATTTTTTTTTCTGCCTCCTATAAGAATATAAACTCCTTGAGGGTAATACTATTTTCATTTTGGTACTTGTATTCTCAGTGCCTAGCATGCACTTTGCATATATTTGGTGCCTAATAAATGCTTGCTGAATTGAATTAGCTTAACTTGTACCTTCCACCAAGAGTCAAAATTTCTCATTAGGAGACACAAAGAATCATAGATTGAAGGACATGTGTGTTCCTAACCTGTAACCACTTTTGACACTAGGCTGTGGGACCAATGAACAAGTCACTTTACCTCTTAGCCTCAGTTTCTTCTTCTGTAAAATAAAGTAGGGGGGATGATTGGGTGACTTCTGAGGGTCTAATTTAAGTCTATGATCCTGTGACTTTCATAAAACATGGGCAGATATTTTTAATTCTAGCCCTTCCCTAGACCTAGTTAGTAGCAGTAGTTCAAACACATTAACTGGGGAAGATGAGGGAGGGACAGATAAGTCTGACTATTTCTCAGTGAACTAATTACAGATTGAAAACTGTCTCCTTTCCCTCTAGAATCTTTTCTGATCTCCTTGGTCTGAGCTTCCTAACCTGGAATCCCATCACAGAACTTGCCTTTTCAAGTATTCTAACAACTACATTTCAATATCATTGGTTTCCTTTGAATTTTTCAGTCTTTTTTTTTCATTCATGTCCAACTCTTTGTGACCCCCTTTGTGGTTTTCTTGGCAAGGACACTGGCATGTTTGGCCATTTCCTTCTTCATCTAATTTTACATATGAGGAAACTGAGGCAAACAGGGTTAAGTGAGTTGCCCAGGGTCACACAGCTAGTAAGTGTCTGAGGCTGGATTTGAACTCAGGTCTTTCTGATTCTAGGGCCAACATTCTACCTACTGCACCACCTACCTACCCTTATATATTATGAACTAAATGGTAATTCACTTAGGGGAAAAGTGGATAAAGTACATGAAAAATTAAATTCTTACCTGTGCAAAGTAAAGTTTTAACTTCTTCCCTCTGAATTGTGTTTCATGGAGCTCTATCCTGGCCCGAGCTGCAGATTTGGGATTGCTAAAGTTTATTCGCACACGTCTGAAACTCTTGAACAGCTGAAACGTCACACAGTCATCATAAGTGCGGAACAGTCCCTCGAATTTCTCCTTGACAAAAAACCAAAAGAAAACACACACATATGCAAACATATAAGAAAATCCATCGGTCATAAAATGTGCATGGTGTCATTAATGACACAAATAATTAAATCCTCAAAGCAAAAAAAAGAGAATATTATTTAATGAATCATTTTTGATGATTATTAGTTGTGAATGCTGCCTAGAGACTTATCATTTTAAAAAAATCACACCCAAATCACGAGAATTCAGGCTAATGAAATGCTGACAATATTCTGAATGTTTTTTTCCTGTGTCACCTTTATTCTATTTATCTTTATTGCAAGTAACAAAACCAGCATGTATTAATATGCTATATGTTCTTACCAGAGAGATGGCTATTAAGTAAGCAAATGGCTGTGTAAAATGATTCGGACTCTTGTTTTTCTAAAGAAAGGCATTTTTGTCTTCAGATAAGTTAGTGCAGGCAGAGATAGAGGAATATGGGGGTTATGAGAAAAAGATCCCTAGAATATCATAGCCAGAACAGAGCCTAACCTAGATTTATAGCTAGAAGGAACCTGAAAGGTCATGTAGTCCTCTGATTTTACAGATGAGGAAACTAAGGAATGTGTAGTGATTTGATCATCTAGTGCAGAGGTTGACAAACTATACAGGTGGTGGGCCAAACCTTGCCTGACATCTGTTTTCCCAGAACAGTGAGCTAAGAATTTTTTTTATGTAATGTAAACCACAGTTTGCCTACCTCTCATTTTACAAAGGGCCAAAGAGCTGAACTGACGGACCCAACATCACACAGCTAGTTAGTGGCATATATTGGGACTAGAACCCAACTCTCCTGATTCTCAGTTTAGGGTTCTTTCTACCACACCAAAAAATTACCTATCAAAGGAGGGAGAAAAAGAAAAAATTCTTCCACAAAAAGGAAGAAATGAATAGAGGTATGCTAATGAAGCCTAAATTCTGAGAAAAAAAAAACAACCTGGAAATTCTAGGTGAACAGAAGTATAATTTATTGCTGCCACATGTGAATGAAATGGAATATTGTTATTTAGTAAGAAATAACAAAAATGAGGAATTCAGAGAAATGTGGTAAGATTTATATGAGTCAGAAAAACAAGTAAGATTATAATAACGTAAAAGATCACTGAAACGAAGTTGAACTTTGGGAATTGAAAAACTCAGAAAACAGATAATGTAATGTATTGCCAACCTCTAGTCACTGAGTTGGGGGAGCATGGGAGCCCAATGTTGCATACATTGTCAGACACAATTACTGGATTGATTATTTTTGCTTAACTATTTTTCTTTGTCACAAAGGAAGCTTCAGTTTGGGGGGTAAGAAATCTAGAAAACATTGAGATGTACAAATGAGAGGGATCAATTCAACTTATTTTTTTAAATAATCACAATATGAGCTATGAGATCATTATGCCTCTTAAAATAATTAATGCCACCTTGGGCTACATTAATAGAAATAAAATGCCTGGTTTACCATAAGTAATAAGTTCTACTGGGGTCTTTGCTGCTTATGTCCCCTCTGGAATATTTTGTTCAACTTTGGGAATCAAGTTTTAATGATTAGATTTAATCTCATCATTTATTGCTGTTCAGTTGTTTCAGTCATGTTTTATTTTTTGTGACCCCATTTGGGGTTATCTTGACAAAGATACTGGAGTGATTTTGCCATTTCCTTCTCCAGATCATTTTACAGGTACAGAAACTGAGGCAAAAAGGGTTAAGTGACTTGCCCAGGGACCCACTGCTAGTAAGTGTCTGAGCTCAGGTTCTCCTAACTCCTCCCCAGTGCTTTACACACTGTGACACCTAACTGCCCTAAAATAAATGGAAAAAGGCTATCCCCAACCATATGGTTTTGTTGTTATTCAGTTGTATCTGGCTTTTCTTAACCCATTTGTTTGTTTGTTTTTTGGCAAAAATACTGGAGTGGTGTGCTATTTCCTTCTCCAGCTCATTTTACAGATGAGGAAACTGTAGGTTAAGTGATTTGCCCAGGGACCCACTGCTAATAAATGTCTGAGGCCAGATTTGAACTCAGGAAGATGAGTCTTCCTGATTCCAAGCCCAGTGCTCTATGCACTATGGCGCCACCTACCTGCCCTTAATCTCATCATTACCCACCAAAAAACTAAACCAGTATGGCTGGCAGTAAGGAAACTACTGGATATAAAGAACTGAAAACTGGAAAAGAGAAAGTGAAGGAAAGACATGAGATGCATATTCCAATATCTGAAGGACTTAAAGAGAAAAGGAGTAGGTCTGTTATTATGTGCTGCTCTTGTGCCTAGAATTAGGGTGAATAAAGAGAAGTTATGAAGAGGCAAATTCTGGCTCAATATAAGAAAAGCCTTCCTAACCAATGCTGTCCAGTAATTAAATGGCTGCCTTCTAAAAGACTACGTTCCATTCTTGGAGTCTGGAAGTCTTCAAGGAGAGGCTATATCACCATCTGTCACAGATATCAAGGGGGAGGAGAAGGTTGGACTAAGTGATCTGAGGTTCTACCAGACACTACGATTCCATGAGAAATAGAGAGAAAAAACCAGCATGTCTAGCTCCTCTGATTTTATCTCATGGTTCTGATTCAGTAACTGCCTACCTCTTGTCACAGTGACCCCAAGCAAACTGCCCCCAAAACATATTTTTCCAAGTATTAGCTAGGTCTGCCTTGGCCTTGGGGCAAAACTAGCGTAGACAAAATCTGCAAAAATCATTGGCATTTCTATATGGCACTAACAAAACTAGGTTAAAATTACAGAACAAAATCCATTAAAAATAATGACAGAATTTAAAAAAAAATCCAAATGGTGTCACAAAGTGTTGGACATGTCTAATTGACTCAAAAACAACAACTATATCTCTCTTATATGCCTCCTCTATTGTTTCAAGGGTGAAATATCAAACCATCTGTTTACTCTTTTTTTTCCCCTTTAAATTTCTTACATTGGAAATTGTTTATTTACTAAGGTATAATAATCAGAATAGAAACACAAACATCTCTTCCACTGAAGTTTTAATCTGTCATCATGCTGAGTTGACAAAGGCTGTTAGGAATAAAATGCAGGCTCTGCTATATTCTACATTAGGTTGGGTTAGGGTAATCCACGTGGCCTAGTGATAACTAGTCGTCACAAGAATAGCAGCCTAGTTTTAGAAAAGTCTAGAGTAGGCCAGCCACAAAGTCGTGGATTTTCAGCTAAATCAATTCTTTAAAAAATACATTCTTCAGGTTACAAGCTTCATTTATGAAGGAGATAACCACATAAAATTCACAGATCTTTGGGCTAGAATCACCACTTGGAATAGAATCTCCCACTTTTCTTGGACTAAAAGGTAGCACCCATTCAAAATGTGATAAATTAGGCAGGCTGAGGTAAGACAAAGTGTGGAATTAAGTTTTTATTTACAGGACACTGCAAGATGGGAAATTCCACATAGAAATAAGAATCCTTATTGAGGATAGAGGTTTTATACATTATGTACACAGTTCAAACTGTTCAAGTATGCATTAATGCTATGTGAAAAAGTCACATTTAAAAAAAAAGATCTTAGTGAAAGACAGTAAGAGAAACTTATACCAAAAACAAGGCACACAAGACTTGAAGGTTTGAATGTAAACTCTAACAGTTAAAGGTCAGAGGTGTGCCATCTTGAATCTGGAAGGCATAGCCATCAGAGGTAGATTCTAGTACAACATTCTAATCTTCTTCCTCTGCAGAGAAATACTTTTCACTTAAGCTTGAGGTAGCCTTAAATACCATTTCATTTTCATGGGACTATAGTACTTCAATTCTGTCTAGCCCTCCACATTCTTCAATTAGGTTACAGAGTTATTCAGCTTCATTTAGGTTTTCAGCAGCCAGAAAAATATTTGAAATTGCATCCAAAATAAGCAGGACAATTTTGCTGTCTTTTGCAGACAAGAGGTTGATTAAGGGTTCCAGAATTCCATTTTGAACAAGATATACAATCTGCTCAATTGTTCTGCCATTTGTATAGTTTGTGACAGTCCATATAGCTTCTTTTTGCAATTTAAAGTCTCCCTTTGACAGAATTCCAAACAAGTATGGAACTAGTCCATGATTCACAACTTGCTGTATTGGGTCCAGATGGCCAGCCATGATGTTTGACGCGGTCCATGCAGCCTCCTCCTGGATATTGGTTTTGGGGTGATAAGAAAGCTAGGAAAGACACGTAGCACTCCTGAATCTATTACAATCTGAGTTTGTTCATCTGTCCCAGTGCCAATATTTCCTATAACCCATAAGGAAGGAGTCACTATTGGCTATTCACCAGATCCTAGAAGTTTCATTAGCTGTGGGACAGCTCCATTTTCACAACCACTTCAGTCCTGTCATTTGAGCCATCTGTGAGGCAGGAAATGGCCGAACAGGTATCTGCCAGAATTTCTGGATCATCATGACGCAAAAGGTAAACTAAGGTAGGAAGAATTTGCTCAGTAGCTCCTACTGGGGGAGCAGGATTCTTGTTATGACAAAGATTTGAAACTATCCAGGGAAGATTTCTTAAGTAACCACATGCTAATGATGATATATAAGGAACTGCAGACAGAGCTAAAAGAGGGTCTTTTGCATCATACTTGATAACCAAGTCTCTGTAGGCTGAACCATCACCTGCAATGTTTCCCAGAGCCCACACTGCCTGTTCACTGGTGCGAGCCTGGGAAGAGGCCAAGAGGGCAATGAACGCAGGGATAGCCCCTCCATCTACCACAGCCTTGGATTGGTCTGATATTCCAGAAGCAATGTTAGTAAGTGCCCAAGCAGATTCAAACTGAATAGGATTATAGTCTGTCCTGCCCAAGAAGCCTCCTAGCTTTGAAATTCTACCAGCCTCAATTATTTGGGAGGCTGTTTTTCCTTCGAAAGGAGTTTCCTAGCAGCTGGAGTAGCCTGAAGATGAACCTCCAGATTATTACTATTTATGCTTTTGACTATTTCTTCAACAGACCAATCCTCAGAGCCCTGGTTATTTTAGTTTTCTTGCAG